CGGACGCCCCGAAAGGGAGCCTGCAGCCCGTGGGAGTCGCTTCTTTTGGACCGGAGCGGATCCGGGACTCCCGTCGCGTGTCCTTTGGGCTTATTTGCACCCCCAGAGCTTGCTCGGGAGAGGGGTGGGACGCAGCGAGCAACCGCAAGCACTGACGGCCTTGTCTGCCTTATTTTCAGATTGGAGTGAGTGGTTTGGACAGAACTCAAGCGTGTTAGAAGACTTTTTAAAAAGTTGTTCCACTGCATCAGCGCAAGTGACTGCTTTATCTTGAGTGACTTTACAGGTGCTTGCCTGCGTTGCAATAAGAGACTCATATATTGAGCAGGACTTAATTTATCTCTTCATTTTGGAGAGTCTAATAAACTATTACCGTTTCCGTACTCACGACCGTTTGGAAGTTGAAAGACGTTTGAAAGGCAAACATGAGTACGGCCAGAACAGAGAACCCTGTTATAATGGGTCTCTCCAGTCAAAATGGACAGCTGAGGGGCCCAGTAAAACCTGGTGGTGGTCCAGGAAGCGGGGGGACGCAGGCTCAGCAGCAGATAAACCAGCTGAAACATCCCAACACAATCAACAACGGCACTCAGCAGCAAGCACAGAGCATGGCCTCCACTATCAAGTGAGTACTTGTGTAGAGCATCAGCAGCCATCTTGGGACGCACAGAATGGCCTCCCAAGTTCTGACTTCTGGATGGAGTATGAGCTCTGTCCGTCTTGTACCTGTTTTACCAACTACAGCAATAATTGGTGTCATTCCTGAGTTGTATTTGTCTCCTATTTGTCCAATTATATTGCTTTTATCTTAAATTCATCCCTTGCTTCCTGCTGTTGCTATATTGTGCCCTCAGTTGTATAGGGTGACACATCTTCCCCCAATCTACATAGAGTTTAATTTGGCACTGGGATGAAGCAAAGGGTAGCAACATCCAGCTGTTAGGAGACCGTAAAGAAAGGCTGGCCTCCTGAGCAACCTGGAGGGTTCCTAGTTCTGCTGGATTTCTGAGAGTGGGAACCTCAGCAACATCAGACCTTCCCCCCACTGCAATTTGAAGTCATTGATATCTCTGATCACTGGAACTCAGTACAGGTTTTCTCTGCTGCGCCCCAGTGAATGGAGAGGCATGTACTGGGGAAAAGGTGCTTTAGAAGGCATTAAAGGTAAGAACCAGCACCTTGAATTCAACTCAGCACTAAGCCTTTGGGCTGTCACTAGAATTTTTTCAGTTCTTTCAGAACTGGTATTGAGTTTCCTTGGCTGAAATCAGAGGTCAGTTTGCTTGCTACATTAGGGATCAACTAAAGTAGAGAATCCACATAAAACAGACAATCCTGTATACTTGTGAAGCTTCCTTACTATGGCAAGGTGATCTATCATCTTGATAAAGAGTGCCATTGGCTTATCAGTGGAAATTGAAGTGGCGCATCGTAATTGCTTCAGAAGACTTTTCCAAAGGGTTACCCAGCCTAGAACAGGTAATATTTGGATAATATTGGTGTGAGTAGCTCTTGTCATATCTTTTCTGGAGGAAACTGTATAGATACTTCTTAACAGGACATTTCTTTGCAGCAGTTTCCCTTGATCCTGTGGTCTCTGCCCATTTAAACCAAGCACTCCACCTTGCTGTTCTGGTGGAACTATGAGAGGAGGGGTACAGTAGGATGATCTGTTGTGTCACATAGAACAGTGTGTGACAGACAAAATAGGGAGCTCAGGACTTCACAGGGAAATTAACTGTCTTCCAGCTCAGTGTAGCTGCTTGAGAGGTAGTAGCAGACACTGCAAAGCTGTGCCAGCTGCCTGCAGCACAGTGCAGCTGAACCAGATCGCTGTAATCTGCTCTAGAGAGATCACCAGGGTCTCCTCTCCTTGTATGTATCTTGGTGTGTGGACAGCGCTTGTATTCAAGCCAGTGAGTCTTCAGCCTTGGCACATAGCTCACCATTCTGGAATGCCCATAGCTTGCTCACCTATGCTGGTTAGGTTTGGGAAAAGCAGCCTCAATTATGGTTGACTCTTGCATCTTTCACATTTGAAAACATAACGATTGTGCAGTGAGGAGCTGAAGAATGCTTCCTTTAGCCTTTTAATACACCACTGGTGTAGTGGCTAAGGTCTTGCACCTGTCTTGGAAGGCACTGGTTCAAATGCACCTTCAACCATGGAAGCTGGCTGGATGGTTTTGGTCTGGTCATATATTATCAACTCTGTGTATCTTACTTGTTACTGTGGAGCTAAAATGAAGACTGCTATTTTGAGATATGGGGAAAAAGATACATAACTGGCTGAATTTAAAGGACGTAGTACATGACGTGTTGAGATCCTCTCTGCGTTCTCCAGTGCTTGCTTAATGCCGTGTTAATACTTGATTATACTGACTTAAAATAATGAAACTGACTTAAAATAGCCTTTGCTTCCTGTGTCATGAAGAGTTTGTATTCAGATACATATTCTAGGTAGATTAAAAGATGTTGTTGTTTGCATCTTGACCCATTTCCCATGATGGCTGGCATTTTTTTGCTGTCACTAGGAGTAAGTGAATTATCCTCTTACTACTCCACTTTCACTGTTATGTTTCTTCCAAGAAGTCTGGGAATCATCAATGTGATGACCAAGTTAAATTTTCCAGAGATCTTTTCTTTCCTTCATAGAACTGATAGAGGAATGGCTTAGATTTCTTAAAGTTTTGTTGTGGATACACTCTTTGGGGAGGTTCAGTTCAGTTCCCTTCTGTTCCATTTCTTCTGATGTGCATTTCTAGTTGGGTGATACTTTAAGCCCTAAAGGTGATGGTATCATGTATGATGTAGAGATCTATCTTGACAAAATCAGGTCCAGTAGCTAACATAATTTTCTCACTTCAGACCTGGCGATGACTGGAAGAAGACTTTAAAGCTCCCTCCGAAAGATCTGAGAATCAAAACGTCGGTAAGGCCTTTCTAAAATTTTAAACCTGGAGAAGGAAGTTGTGTAGATGCTTGACAGCAGATATTTCTTTTCAGTGAAGTGTAAGGTTTCAAACTGATTGAATCACCATGGTCTTATAGAATCCACACTGATGCATAATAGGTTGCCTACTCTGCTGATTGCTATCTACCTGTATTTCTAATTTCTAACCTGTGGGTTGAAATTTTTATTAAGTATCATTAACACCATCTCAGAATGTCTCTCACAAGAAATAGCTGCCTGCTGTAGATGGTGCAGTTAGTTACAAATAAACACTCACCTTAAACCAGCTGGTAAGGCTAAAAGAAACACACACAGGTACGCCGTTTCTGAATAAAAAGTAGCAGTGGGCATGGAGTCTCAAACCACAACTTACTTTGAATTTATTCCCAAGATAATTTCCCCACCCCCTGCTCTACCATCATTCATCCCCATCCCCACCCTTTTATCAAGTACATATAGCTTACATACATCAGCACTTAATTTCTTCCCCTTTAGGTCTTAACTTCACAGCCTTGCCCAACCCAGTTCCCCTTGCTTTCCTGAGAATGTCTCCAGCCCCTGGGGGAAAGTTAACACAAATTAGCGCACTCACACTGCTACTAGGCCTAGCCTCAGAATGCCCTTTGCGGTCACTTGAGTTAATTATTCTGCTTTGCTTGTCCAGGATGTGACCTCCACAAAAGGAAATGAGTTTGAAGATTATTGTCTGAAGCGGGAGTTGCTGATGGGAATTTTTGAAATGGGCTGGGAAAAACCATCTCCTATTCAGGTTGGTCAATTATGGTATAAGTTTAGTAAGTTTAATAAATACAGTTTAATACATTATTATAAGATGCTCGTTAATGAGTGGAAATCTGCATTATAGAAATTCTGGGGGAAACGTTAGGTTTTGGATTCCCATGCCACAGAATGTCATGTCCTGTGCTGTCATTCTGCACCCATTCTGCACTCCTGGAAGGCTGAATGAAAGAAGTAGAGGGGAAGAGGAGGTCTTTTCTCCCACATCACCACAGCCTCTCCACAGCCTCTGACCACTTAAATCCTTTGTCCGAGTGTTCTTTTCTCTGTGTGCAAGATTATAAGGGCCATTTTTTCATACCTTCACAGCAAAAGCCATCCAAGCTGAAGGACTCGCTCTTGTGCATACAGAAAGGGGCTCTTCATGGGTCATCATGAGATGGAGAAGACAGGGTCCCTGGAATAAAGGGTTGAGATTTCTCGCTCTTTCATTGGGTCTGGCTTGATTTTGTTTCCCCCCAGATAACTAATGCTCCAGTGATAGATGGAATTAGAACAAAACAGTACATGTTTCCAGTAGGCTTCTTTATCATAGCTACTGATTTTCTGAATAATTAATATATGTTGCTATTGCTGCCAGCACAGAAATGTTCTTGTTTCCAAACCCAGCCTTTCAGTCTAGAGAGGCAGATGGAAAGAGCTACATGTGGCAGTTGTGTCATGCAGGCTACAGGCCCTCCAGGAGAAGCCATAAATCCATATTTTCTTCCTGCCCTTCAAAATGTGAAGGCCTGCCTGGCTACCACCACTAGCCCCTACTGACATGGGAGGTAGCTTGTAATTACTAGTGTCACGGTGAGTTCCTCGCCAAAGGGTTGCCATGTGTAATTAGGTTGTACAGGCTGATGATTTACTTACTTACTTACTTTATTTATTTATTTATTCAATTTATAATTTGTGTATTGGCACCTTGGTCTTCCTCTCTCCAGCTGGGAATGAGAACATACCCACAAAGGGGTTAGCTGCAAGCACACTTGAATGACAGCAGCTAACCCTTCCTTGCCTTTTCATCTGAAGTATAACCCTTTACTCCTTTGGTTTTTACTCTTTATGTTTGTATTTTCTAACAGCTATTTTTTTATTTTGTATTTTTTGCTTCTACCTCATTCAAAATCTTACCTGTTCTCCAGTTGGTACTTAGCCTTCTCTCCCCTTTTCCTTTACTGCCAAGTACAAGCATCACATGGTTTTATACTGCTTCTCGTGCTTCTTTTCAGGAGGAAAGCATTCCTATTGCTTTGTCTGGAAGGGACATCTTGGCCAGAGCTAAGAATGGAACTGGCAAGAGTGGCGCCTACCTCATTCCCTTACTTGAAAGGCTTGACTTAAAGAAGGACAACATACAAGGTCAGTGGAAGATGACAGCCATGCTGACTCAAGGTGCAGCAGATTTTCATCTTCACCAGTGGCCATGTTAGATTGCTGGCTAAATAACAGCTTCGCTTTTATGAAAGAAGAAAGCATAGAAATCTTTGGAAAAGGGCTTGATTGGAATTAGTACAGCCCCTATGGTCACTGTTAGATTTTGACTAGAAGGACTTGAAGAATTTCAAAGTGAAACTGCTGCTGCTGCTGCTAACAAGAATGTCTTTGTTTTATGTGGATAGAATAGAGAGACTGCTGTATCCCCATTCAGCATTCCCTCCCATTAGTCCATTGAGAGCACACTTACTTCGCTGCATTGTTTGTTCCACCGAATCAGTTTATCCAAAGCCGGCATTCAGTAAGCTACGTATCTGGGAAGGCAAGACATGGGATGAAAATGTGTGACACCATCTTCCCCTTTGTCCTAGTGCTTGTGCTGCCTTTGAACAGGGGCATCCTATGCATTGCATTTTATTTTGTTTTAAAGCTCTCTAAGCTTTGGAATACTGCTATTTGTGTGGCGGTAATTCCAGGAATTAGTCTTGCACATCCTCCTCTTCAGCCTTGGATTTTCTGCCGAGCGCTTTTTGTTTTTTTAACCAGAGAAAGTATGAGAATGTTCAGACGGATTGTTGCAGGGTTTGTTTTTGTGGGGTTTTGTTGTTCTAGATGCCTTTACCTTATGATTATTTTAAAAAGCAACTTGCTATTTTTTTTTCGTTAATATGTTCAGGATTTTTTTATCAAAAGCTGGTGATAGCCCATGTTTTTTGTTGGTAATTGTTACAGAATTATTAACATTCCTTGCTATTTAATAAACTTGCAGAATTTCAGAAGAGTTAGTTCTTGCATAAAGCCAATCTTCAGATTTTGAAGTTGGGAAGGAATTATTTGGTTTTCCTTGGGGTTTTATGAAAACAGGAGTTGTCATACTCAAGCTTCTAAGCAATGAATGCTTTTAGAGTGGGTGCAAGGATTAAAGGTGGATGAACAGCAATTTAAGGTATTTTTGCAAAGTCATTGAAAATACGGTAGGACAGAGGTGGACACTGGGCATGCCAGAAGGACTTGAATTTTCCAAGTGAGCACCCTGTTTTCCCAGGTCCCATAATTTCTTCTTAGCGCTCCTACTGCACAAAGCATGAAGAAGCAAGCACTCATGACTAAACTCCAGAACAGTCTCGGGGTACTTAAGTTCACCATCGCTCTTCCAAACCACTTGGTTGGAGAGCCTTATTAAAATGTATTGAGTAAGTTTTAGTGCTGCAGGCAAACACCCCGCATGCTGCGCTTCCCTATGCTGTCTTGTTCATTATGTACTGAGTTGGGGAGAAATGTGATTTGGAAGATGCTCCTTCTGTGTTATGATGAAACTTTGAAATGGTGATAAAATGGTAGAATGGTTCCCGTTCCAGTAGCTTTGGAGGAAACTGGATTCAGTCAAATCCAGGATACCTGCCTCTTTGGTGTCTGTTAAAGGTCTTTGTAAGCTAGAAAGGACACTCGGGCTTCTGAAAATCTTACGTTTAGCTCTTACCAGACGTATATTAGCATACAGATCCTCTGGGAGCATGGAATAAGAGTGCCTCAAATTGTCTTCTCTTTTGCAGCAATGGTGATTGTTCCCACACGAGAACTCGCCCTGCAGGTCAGTCAGATCTGCATCCAGGTCAGCAAACACATGGGAGGAGCCAAAGTGATGGCAACCACAGGAGGAACTAACCTGCGGGATGATATAATGAGGCTTGATGATACAGGTAGGACCTCCTAGAGCAGTGTGGGGTAACCCTGAATGAAAGCCCCTAGTTCTTTTGTGCCACTTTTTATCAGAGTGCCTGATACCTGCTTGTCTTTCTTGCAGTGCATGTGGTAATAGCAACCCCAGGGAGGATTCTGGATCTCATCAAAAAGGGGGTAGCAAAGGTGGACCATATCCAGATGATTGTCTTAGATGAGGTAAAGTTTAACTGGCTGAACTTTATGAGTTATAATCTGAGCCCTCCGCTACCAGATTAGCTGTTCTGGTTGTCTTTTGTTGGATTTTGGTCAACTGCAGCTTGAAATCCAGGCTAGATGGTGCCCCGTTCCCCTGTGCAGTTGGAGAAGGGGGGCCTCAGAGCCGGAAATGGCCTGTCATGGCTGGCTAAGAAGCATTGTTTTGACATAAGGTGGGGCTCTGGCCAGTGTCCTGCTGGGAGGGCTGGTTAAGCATGGAACAAGTTCTCTGAAGTGTCATGAAAGCTTGAGCTTTGAACTGGCCACTTTTTTCTGACAGGCAGACAAGTTACTGTCTCAAGACTTTGTGCAAATAATGGAGGACATTATTCTCACTCTACCTAAAAACAGGCAGATTTTGCTGTACTCGGCCACTTTCCCGCTAAGTGTGCAGAAGTTTATGGTGAGTTGAATGAGCTTGACTTCAGGGTTGGTGCATCACTGAGCACAGGGCAAAGCGTGATCATTCTTGCCGTGCTGCAGCCTACAGGTCAGTGTCCTTCTCTTTCAGAATTCCCACTTGCAGAAACCCTACGAGATTAACTTGATGGAGGAGTTGACTCTGAAGGGAGTGACCCAGTACTATGCTTATGTAACAGAGCGCCAGAAAGTCCATTGTCTCAACACACTATTTTCCAGGGTAAGAAGTGAAGTTTAAGTTACATTGGAGGCTTAAACAATAAACAAAACAACCAAGTCAAAGAAGTCCTGTAGAATATTGCTTGAATGAAGAGTTTTATTTTGCCACTTGCAAAACGTTTATTTTTACTTTTGCAGTCCTTTAGTTACTGCCTTGTTTTTGTGTGCCTCTTCCCAAGCCTTTGTAGTCTGGTATTATCCACTTTCAAAATGGCCAGTGTTCAACAAAAGAAATACTTGGTCAACTTTTCACAGTTGCAGTCTTTGGGCACTAAACAATTATGGAGCCGTACTTTATCTTTTGACTGGGAGAAAAGCAAAGCTTAATGGGGCACGAGGGCAATATACTGAAGTATACTGTAACAGGAGAACCTTATTAGTCTTTTTTTTTTTAACACCTTCTGGTTAGTGTTGACTCCTGGCAACTGCCTGGGCAAGCCCCTGCAGTTTTCTTGCCAAGATTTGGGGAGTGGTTTGCACTGCCTGCTTTCTAGGGCTGTGCAGAGCAACTGGCCAAGGTCACCTGGCTGGCTTTGTGCCTAAAGCGGGACTAGAACTCACGGTCTCCTGGTTTCTAGCCTGGTGCCTTAACCACGACACCAAACTGGCGCTCTTTGTTAGTCTTAAGGTGGCAAAAAAAATCAGAAAGAACTTGGTAGCACTTTTTCCAACTAACAACAGAAGCTTTTCATTGCAGCTCGCTTCATCAAATGCACGAAACCCACAGTGGGTTTCTAACACATTGCGATTGTTAATCGATAGGGTACTTGTAATGTGTCTCACATGTAACCTGCATCTGCATTACCAGCTTGTGTTCCCCTCCCTCCCTCCCCCTCTCCCCCTCACCTCATCCCAATTTAAATCCCACACCCGTCTAGCCACCCTGTTACGGCTCATGAGAGCTTGTGCCTTTTAATAAAATGTGTTAGACTTCTGAAGCCACTCAGTCTTTCAGTTTACAAGAAAGAGGACCTGTCATCATAACCATTACTGTTGCTTGGAAAGGGTCGTCACCTCAGGATGATAACCAGGTGTGAGGAGGGATGTTCAGTGTGCCGTGTTTTAATTCAGAGCTGTAAATCAGAAGCTACAGCATTCCAACTCCTTGTTTTTATAAGTTGCCTTGCAGTTTACAAGCAGTGAACAATATAACACCTTACTGTCTTTGTATTTAGCTCCAAATAAATCAGTCCATCATCTTCTGTAACTCCTCCCAACGGGTTGAACTATTAGCTAAGAAAATCTCCCAGCTGGGGTACTCCTGCTTCTACATTCACGCAAAGATGAGACAGGTCAGTGTGCTGTTTGGAGCAATTAATGAATATCTGTTGGGTTTCAGGGGTTAGTTGTGCAGTGGGAGAGTAGTAGTGGGTGTATTTGCAGACTTTTTGGAGTCGTCTCGGTCTCTGTTAGCTAAGCACTTGGAGCTCTGGAGAGTTTTTATTTCCTAAATAAAATGAAATTTATGGAATGGATAAGGAGAGGCCTGTAGAGAGACCACTGGAAGCTTGGACAGAGATCCCAGGGTGAGAATCGAGGGCATCTGGTCGTGTGAATGGCACATTCTGTGACAACCCAGGCATTCCTTCTCAAGTGGAATTTTTTCTTCTTGGGTTTTCCTTGGGATGCTGAAGGACAAACTTCTGGGCTTTGGTCAAGCGTACCTTGGTGAAACTTTCTGTATTCCTTTTCTAGGAGCACCGCAATCGAGTGTTCCATGATTTCCGGAATGGCTTATGCCGCAACCTTGTTTGCACTGGTGAGTGCTCCGTTGTTTTCCACAGTCTGCATGCTGCCTGGAAAGGCTCTTTAGTAACTTTCATTGCTTCATTTTTGGAATTTGTGAAGATACGTTTAGCAACTGGATATTGTGAAATTAGGAGAATCCCATGCACTGTCACTTCTTAAATAGATTACTGCAATGTGTTCTTACATGGGGTTGCTTTTGAAGATCACCTGGAAGCTGCAAACGGTACAGCTCATATTTTGTCAGTGCGAGCTTAGTATTAGTACATAACACCACCATTACAGGCTCTGCATTGGCTACCAGAAGGCTTCTGAGTACAATGCAGAGTGCTGGTTTTGGCCTCTAACGTCCCACGTGGCTTGGTGCTCAGGTGCCTCTGGTACAGCTGCTCCAAACAGAATCTGCCCGTCTGGTCCCCACATCCCGAATGGGTGTGTTGAGTATTCTCATCCCCGTGTTAGAAATATGAGATGGGAATCAGTGTTTCCGAATCTTGTCTCTGACACCGAAATAGTCCCCGAGACTGTGTCCTCCTGATATTCAGAAAGGCAAAAAGACCAAATTGAGATTTTCATAATTAAGACCATGAATGTGAGAGGACTCTCTGTCATTTTGAGTTTTGTTTGTTTGTTTGTTTTCTTTGTAATTGTAATCATTTTAATGTGATGTTTTACTGTTGGGTTGCTTTAATATTTATTTTAAACAAGCAGCGTTGTGATAGGAATTGTCTCATGTTTCTTTTATTTTCCAAGTTGAGGAGATCTAACTAAAGGAGGAGGGACCAGGAGGAGAGAAATAGGGAGCTTTTGCCCATCAAAATGAGAACACTGCAGGATCCATTCTTGAAAATTTTTCAGTCTCACGTGTCTCTGTGCTTGAGGCTATAGCAAAGGGTTGTGCCACTTAGAGCAAAAGATTCTGTCTTCCTGAGGGCTTCTTTTTCTGCATTACCAGAATTTTCTGAGGTGAAAGGTTTGTTTTTCAGATCTCTTTACCCGAGGTATTGATATCCAAGCTGTGAATGTTGTGATAAATTTTGATTTTCCAAAGCTGGCAGAGACATATCTCCATCGTATTGGCAGATCAGGTGAGGACATTGTTCAATGAAAAGTTACAGTCTGTTTGCCACATAGCACTGCTCTTTTATGTAAATGGTTATATCCCATGATAGAAAGTAGAGATTCTGGGCAGCTAGCAGCTAGCATTGATTGCTCCTTTGGTGACAACTATGCATGTCTTCTCTTGGGATACGTGCCATAACTTTGCCGATACTGGTGGGAGCATCAGCCCTGTTTCATGTCTAAGCAGCGAGAATCCTTGGGGAGCGCCTCTTTAGGGCAGTTCCTTCTAGCAAGGTGCTGGTTGTTCATAACTGCCTCATGTCAGCAAATCACCTTGATTCTGCAACCTCCTGGGCTCCATAGCTAGGCCATCCTTCCTGTGCAGCTCTCTGCAGGGTGGTACCAGCTTAGCAAGGAGGCAGGTTTAGAGAGGGTGAGACTCCCGTTGGAGAGTCTGCCTCCGACAACAGCACTGGTAGCTGTTTGTGGACTGCTGTACATGTTAATTATTGCATTATCAAGGAGCTCAATTGTGGCTTACTCGTACATCATAAGATACTTCATGTGATATTTAAAGCTGCTGTTGGATTGTACAAAAAAAGCAGTACACACATATGTTTTTTTATCTGTGGTCCAAGGATAAAGATTTTTGTGGCTGATTGTACCCCTCCCCACAAAGTTACAGTAGTAGAGCCATATTGTTAAAAATACTACAGCAAACAAGGGTCTGAAACTGGAAAATATTGCTCTACCACATACATCAGGAGGAGAGAACTGGTTGCCTCCAAGTCAGCCACACGTAGTCCATTTGAAGCAAGCTGGTGGCCTGCCCAATAAGAATCTTTGCTTTTTCTCTTTGAAGGTCGATTTGGCCATCTGGGCCTAGCCATCAACTTGATCACCTATGATGATCGTTTCAACCTGAAGAGTATTGAAGAGCAGCTGGGGACCGAAATTAAGCCCATCCCTAGTAACATTGACAAGAGTCTGTATGTGGCAGAATACCACAGTGAGCCTGTAGAAGATGATAAACCATAATTGCTGCGTAGGTATCTGAGGGCAGGCCCAGTGGGGAGGTTACCTGAATACCCTCATCTAGTCCTCTGGTGTAGGCTGTCCCCAGGAGCCTTGGGGAGTTTTTTCTGCATGGTACAGTTGAATGCCCTAGAAGGAAGGAAATCACTAAACTGCATGTCTGGAGGAAAATAAGTATTGAAATTTATTTTAGCTTATGACCGGACCCTGCTCGCTACTTTCCGGCATGTGGCCTCTGAACACAGGTGGTCCATAGCCTGCATCTCTTAGGAGCTGATGGGCAAAGTGGCTGTTTGGTGTGGTTTCCTTGGCACTAAAGATGATGTTTTTTTCTCTTTCTAGGCTTTGCTTAAACACACAAGCTAAAGCCCTTTGATCTGGACATGTGAAACGCCATTTCTTGGGGGATGCCCCTTCTCTTTGAGGGTTTTTCATCTTTTTGTTTTGGAACAGTTAAAATTACAGAGCTTTTTTCCCTTTTTAAAAAAAAATTGGCTGCGAGGACAAAAGCAGAAGATAGGAAGAAAATACCTTTTGTTTTCCCCACTTGTTTGCACTGTGTGCTGACTGAACATTAGTTGCACTAACTGCTGGTTTTAATTTCTTTCTTTGTGATGGAGCAGAAGAACTCTGAAATGAGAAGATCCCCAAACTCCACCTTGACTGCGATTTCAAATCCACCCACAGCTGCCCGACTGAGTGCATTTCAACTTCTCCCTGGCTCCTCATCCGTCTTTTGAGCTAAAGAGCTTGTTACTTATTTGTGCAAAGTGCCTTATGCTATGAGACCATTCAGAAAATCCCTTTTGGATACAGCCCAAGGAGTCGTTTTGGTTCAGGTCAAAGTCTCTTTCCCCACCTCTGTTTCCTTCCCCTTCCAGGCACAAGTGCTGGAAGTTGGCCCTTGTCAGTAGTCTTGTTTTGGTTAACTTTCTTTTAATGGAGGAGTTGAGATGCAGTTGTAGTTCACCCACTCTGTAAATATGTGTATTTAAGCAAAATAACCTGGATCGCCTGGGTCGATTGAGGGAAACTTCCACACTCGGAGAGGAAAGAGCCACTTGCCAACCAATCTGCAGCAGGAGCCCCCCAAAAGCCCCCGGGCTCTGGCAGAACACTACAGACTGGCCTCCGTGAGTCTCCCTTGGGGGGCACAGCACTTGCTGGGCAGACTTGTCTCCAAGCCATGATGGTTTTTCCTCTCTTGTGTGTTCTGCAGAGAATTGGATGTGTATACTTGTATAAACTCTGTAAATATGTGTTTTTCTGTTAAGGGTTCATATAACTTACTTTTTTTCTTTGTTTGGATGAGGCTTGCTGGCGTTAAGGGGATTATAGATAGATCTTGACAGCAGCTAGAGGTGAGAGGGGCTCAGTTTTCTGCAACGCTACTCAATGCCAAGCACTGTGACTTCAGGCCTCTAGGTAGGCCTGGCTTGTTTTAGGGGTTGCAACATTTGGAAGAGATCTGTGTGTGGGGCAAGGGTCCTCTCCCCCCACCAAGGGGGGACCCTCCAGGAAAGTGGGATTTGTATTGGGGGAGGGGGTACAACAGCCTTGTTTGTCCAGAAGCAAGGCAGAACAAAAAACGACAGCCTAGAATTGGGACTCAAATGAGCCAAAGTCCTGGTCAGCCCTGACATCTTCTGGCATTAGAGGCTTCCTGCTCGCTTGTGGTGACTCTGTTTCAAGCCTGTCAGATGAGAGACTCCGGAGCAGGAAAGGCAAGCCCTCTGCTCGCCCCCCTGCTGTGGGAGGTGCTTTCCATTCCAGTAGTGTTGCTTTAAAATGTGCCCCTCCCAATGTGCTTGGTGTTTGGCCTGATATGCAGGCGCAAGGAGTGAGACTACTCAACCTGTAAATGTCTAACCGATTCCCTTCCAGCCTGACCAGCAGCAGAGTGCCAGGAGGCACCAGGGCAAACATGGGCTCAGAAACGAGCTAGTCAGAGCCCACCCCCTGTCTTGCCCTGACAAGCTAAGCAGTTCTGATGGAAAGTACCAACTTTTTCCAGCCCTGACCTCAGAGAGCTGTGCCTAGAGCCCGGTGCCTCCTGGCAACCCTTTGAAAGCGAAACATGTTTTGTCTGAGTAACTCCCCAGAACCGTGGCAAAAGCTCTATGAAAGGAAAGCTCCTCTGCTGGGAATTCAGCTGTGGCTGCCTCAGACTGGCAAGTGCTTGGGGTGGGACAGCTTGGGGAGGGGGCAACTTTGACCCAAAGCGAAACTTTGCTCTTCTGCAGCAGCCGGGGGGCTTCCCAAGAGAGGGGAGGGGAAGGTCGCTTTAGAGCAGAGGCAAAACATGTACACCAATCTAGAACCTTGCGACAACCCGAGCACCTGGTGTGGTGCTGTGAGTTGAGGTGGCCGCTCTGTCCAGTGCCACGCTCCTCTTGTCACTCTTGAAGCACAGCATTTTTTAAAGAGAAAGTATTACTTCACCTGCGGCCGCCTAGCAGAGGAGCGGCCTCAACCTCTGTCTGCCATTTTTGGGTAGCTTTGTTTGGGTCAGAAAGCCACCTGACAATGGCTTCTTCTTGTCTCTCAGTGGTGAGGAGGGACTTGGAAATGGAAAGATGCTCCAGAT